TCTTATATTAATAAATTAAGTCTTTAAACTACTGTCTCTTCGTTTGACTTAATTTAATTATACTAATATAACTGCATGTATGGTGACGTCTCGTCACCACTCATTGCGCGCGTCTTGCGGCGATTGGTGGGTTGATATCATCACGATATCAACCAATGAACAGCCCCTTTGGTCGACCCTTCAATATCACCACTTTGGTGATATTGTTTAAAGAATATCCATCTTATATTCTTTATTGTCACTTTCCTTAAGTGACAATATCATGTAACGGGCTGCCCCGTTACAGACGTGCTCGTGCCACGACTTAAGTATAGACTCGTCTCAATGGTCTTAGAGAGCGTAGGCGCTGCTACCTGACCGTCTAAAAGAATCAAAAATGGTAAACTGTGATACTTGGTAAGCCGGCCGGTAAGAAATGCCAACTTTGTAGTACCGAAGTGCAAGTGGGATTGATTGGACCAATAGCGGCAGAAGTTTTGGCTATCCGGTGCAGGGCGTTCCGTCCATTTGTAGCGATATATTGTCACGTGTTCTTGCGAATATCTGGTCATGGTCTAGGTCAAGCACGTTCAGATTGCCCATTCCGCATAAGCCAACAGGAAAAGAGCAATGACATCTCAGCGATACAGCATGACGATGCAAAATGATCATTGCGGTAAGGAGATACATTTCGTGCTAAGAGCGTCTGGCCCCAAGAGGTGCCTTCGAATATTCTATCATCGTAGCATTCCCCCGTAAAAATAGCCCGCTTGGTCACTTGCGCCCAGTCAGAAAGACACCAACCATTTCTACTGGTTTGACGATATCTCAATTGGCGCACTCGTTAGTGTCGCCGTGACAAAGGTACGAAAAGTAGCAACCTATAAAACACTGCTCCTTCGAATGTCTGATCATTTCTAACAGAGCGATGTTCTGCCAGTTACAAAAAACACCCCGATGTTGATGTTCGCTGCCGGGTGGCCGAGGGCTGTCCTGAACTGAAAAGAAAGCGTCGGAAGTACCCCAATCGCACTATGTTAGTACTTTGCACGAACTCTTGCCGAGTACGCTAAGCAAGGGTTCGTGCAAAGAAGTAACACAGTACGACTCGACGGCGTACGCAATAGTTGTAACAAGGGTGTTGCTAGATAGATTAAGGCGACCAGACAATTTTATACTACCGTGGCAGAATTGATCACTTTCGCGAGCCTTCAGTTAAATGTTGCTAATCTATCTGCAACCATCAGCGTATGCACTGTTCAGCTCGCACACCATACAGGCCCGCGTCAGTATCAGCTTCGTGCGCGAGTGGCACTCTCGGCTCCGCCTTTATCACAAAAGTTGATACTCGATGTTACAGAAGAAAAGTCGTGTCGCTGTTTCAGATTGTTTGCGCTCATATCCAAGCTGGACACAAGTTCATATTTAGTGCAACGTTTGGACAATACAGGCGTTCGATGACGGTTAGTCTCAATCGCTTTCACTGCGGCTATATTCGATTGCTTAAGGATCTTGCATTCCCGCGCAAGAATTGAGTTTAACAAGCACAACATCGATGGACTCAGGTGCTTTATGTCGCACTTCTGGTGTCCGTCCATGCAGACAATGTACATTAGTACACTGAAAGCGAGATTCTACATTATAATCACAATGTCAAGTGGTGTCGTGAAAAATACAGTGGAGCCATTTCATTCGATAGTATGAGCCCAATCATCACTGCTCCAGCACTTCATCGTTCACGTAGGTGCAATCAGGCTGTTGAATAGAGGCACATGACGTACTTGACGTAAGGTAGTGCTTTGTCGGCTGCTTAGTCCATTTCTCCGTCTAAACGTTTCCTACAAGGTGATCAAGCGACGAGCGATTCGAAAGGCACGAACTAGAATTGCTTTTGTATGAGTTGCAAACCGTTTCCGAGCAACTCGTTCTTGCGAGACACGTCGCCCATCCTCCTGTATCTGTGGCCATATGCGCCTGTTTTGCAGAGGGTACATGGCGGCTTGACACGTCACAGCTGGTGCTCGACCATACTTGTGTTCGGATAGTGCTGTGAAACTAGTTTCATCCCCTACAGCAGTTCGTTCGTCAACAGGGGCCACAACCGCAACTCGCGATACTCTGTGTTCTGATAGACCGCACAACATGTTCTAGGCAAGTGGACATCGAGCCTGAAGCCCATCGAAGAGCACCATTTCCGTATTCTATATAGTGTTTGTCACCACCTTTTGCAGACGACCGACCACTATTCACGTCGACCAGTGTTTTTCATCACCGCACTTACGTAAGCGGAGGCCATGTTCTACATGCAATACGCAGATTGTGTGCCGTTCAAAGAGATGGGATGTAGGAACATGTCTCGATGTGTGCGTCACTATTCAGCGCACGACCCATAGGTGTGAAAGAGAGAGATCGCCAAGATTGATACAACCAGCATCGGCTATGCACGGGTGTGACTCTTGCAATGTCCACAGCTTCTCCGACTTTCGGACGTGACGACGCTGATCGTAAGACACAAGCGCAAGTGTTTACGGTCTGTTTTCATCAACACTAGGACGTTGTCGACGACGAAACCCTCTACAAGCTAATACGTGCCAGCTGGTCGCAGCCAGCACTTTGTCGATGCAGCATGTGACAAGCACAGATAGGCCACGACTAGGGGCACGCCCCACTTTTGCTACGGGCACACCCGCCCTCCTAAAGTGATCTAAAGGACTTCCAACTCTTCGAAACTATGCAGCACTTAAGCTGCACGACCTCGCGGAATCGACTCGGTTGCCACTTGCTCCACTGTGATGCCATTGTACGTACTACGCTTAGCGTGTTTCTTCCCAAAGCAAGATTCATGTTGATGTATTGACCGGCGACAAAAGACGGCTGTTGTCTGGCTTTTGCTTGCATCTATCAGTGCGCGACAACGTTTGTCATAAGCGTCTGGATCCAATTGTCTTCAGCATCGACACAGTTGAGATTTCGTGCGGCCACTTAGCTCAGCAGCAAAGCGCGGCTAGAGTCTGGGCGACTCGATGCCTCACTCGCGCTATCTTGTAAGAATGAGCCATCTTTCTGCTCGGTGACCTTACGGGACGACAAGTCCGGGTTGATGCAGTTAACGTATCGGCCCCGAAGCGCTGGCTGTGTTCGCCCGGGCACATGATGACAAATGTCGTTCCACGGCACTTGATCCTGATTGGACTCAGTGCCTTTTGGCACGTATGCACAAAGTGCGAGCAGCAGCCGTCTATCCTCACTCAGCGAAAACTTGCCTCACCGAAGACCTGGTGCAAGCGAGAGCTGCCATCGATGGCGGATCTGCTCCGACACACGGCCATCTATCAAATCTGCAACCACGTTCCACTTTTCGCCAAAGACCGGGACAGCTTCACGCAGGACCTAATCTTCTTCTGGCGTAAAGGTTGACCGCGTGTTTCCAGCGATCAGCGCTGTCTTGTACCGAGTAAGACCATGAGCTGTTGGTCTTCCCGGCACTGGCATGCGCTTCGCAATCTCGTGCCACTTCTTCACCAGTTTCGGGTCTTCTTGTCCCGTGGCCAACCGTCGAACCGCTGTGTCTTTCTCTGTCTTCCACGCGCCAAGCCGAAACGTCGGCGACTCGTGCAAGTCATACCACAATTTGCACGCACTACCCGAACGTTGATTGGAGACTTTCTCGACTTGCGTGCATCCTGCCACGAGCAAAGTTTGTTCCACGCTTGCAGAAGTATCTCCACGTTCGCGGCGTGTGTCACGTAGAAATCTTTGGCAAAGTCCGCGACGACTTTACGCTCTCGACTCGTGAAAATCGTTGGGGGCCCGACGACAAACGACTCGTGACTGTGAGCCCGTAGAAACTCGGATATCGTTGTCACTGCCGATGGTCAGATCTTGGCATCGTACCATTGGATTGTATACCGTCTTCGAGATAGTAGAGATCCCGGCAGGCATTGCCGTTCGGATACCGCCCTGGCAAAGATGGATTGATCAAATCTCGCGCATGAGTGCATTTGTTGTTTAACATAGGGACATGTCGAGCAGTGGCAAGTGACTACGTGTTATACTTATTCTGCACCGTAAAATATGAAGTCCTTTATATCACTTTAGGAGAGCAAGTGTGCCCCTAGCAAAAGTGGGGTGTGCCCCTAGTCGTGGCCGACGAGATATCCCGAGCGCAAGTATTCGTTTCGTTCCGCCCTACCGCCTGTCGATTTGCACCGTGTCCGCAACCGATGATGTACCCATAAACACGTGGCTCCTACGCCTCCATGCCGTGCGACTGACGGCACATAAGCCACTCGTGCTGCTGCACTAGCCAGTGCACTGTCGTGTCGGGTCCTTCGCGCTCATCTTTCCAATGTTTACGCTCTCAGTGGGCTCGTCTGACGCTCGAGCGAGACGGGATACGTGCAGCTCATGTGGCCTGAGTTCGCCGCGTCGTCTGCTGTCCGAGCCGCAGACTCTCTCGAAGACAGGTCAACAATACACTCGTGTCCATAATCCGCGACTTTCCCCCGTCCACCTGTCGCACCACATTGAAGTCGCATAGTGTCAAACAGCACAAAAACACACAACAACCACACAGAAACACACAACCCCAACCCCACAACCACAACCACAACCACAACCACAAACATATATGAGACATATGATAAATAGAAATGAGACGCATTGCGTGGGCCAATCGACGCGCAGCTGTTTGTCGCACTGCGCTTTTCGTTCACAACGAGCGGCGAACGTGTTTCAAGGCGAGTTCCACAACGAGAGGCGGCGACATCTACCATACGCTCAGACGTAGCAGACAAAAAGTGGCTTCCAAGACGCGTCGTCCGCCCCCATCGCTGTCGGCGTGCAAATGTGACTGACGACCAGACCGGGCCATGCCGCCACCAGCTGCTGAGCTGCAAAGGAACAAATCGAGCGCTGTCGCCTCTTCGACCGTCGCCACTCGGCTTTTCGCCCGCTCCATTCATCGCGTCGGACGCTCTCGCGCGCTCTCTCTCATTCCCCACGCGCCCACTCGTAACAATATGATCGTCGACACTCACTCGACGCTGTGTCTCTCCCACTTACCCCGTGAGCCCAATTCCACTGCCATTGAACATCTCGTGCAGCAGCCAAAGGCGTTCCCACCGACTCTCAAGTCCACCGCACGGCCCATTCGACGCGTCGACCGCTGGCGCCAAGTGCGCCTCCACATGCGCCAACTGACGCGCGGCCTCAAGCGCTGCAGAGCGCGCACTGTCGACGGCAGTAACGCGGCCGTCACGTGCTGCGCGTCGATGCTGCACAAGGACTTTTGGCTCGAAGCGCTCGACGTGCAGCACCGGTACGGGTTCCACCTGCGCGCGTTCCACAGGACGTGGAAGCTCGAAATGGCTCGAGAGGGACAGCTACTGACCGACCAGGACGACGCCTCGTTCTTCCATTGGCTCGACCACGGCCAGGGCAGGTTCGTGGACCTGCCAGAGTGCAGCCAGCAGTACCTCCGCTCGACGCGTGTCGAGTACTGCACCGAAGCGCAGCGCGAAGACTATGAGATTGAGTTTGCATTGCTGCCGTGCAGCAATGAGAAGAAGATAAGCGTGCGGTACGCAGCGTCGAAGCAGGTGGTGCACACGGACGACCGGAGCAAGTGGATCTTTGTCTTGGACCTGTGTGGGCGGCTGTACCTCGGGCGGAAACGCAAGGGGCGATTCCACCACTCGAGCTTTGTGTCGGGTGCACCGATCTTTGCCGCCGGTAAGATCGCCATCGCGCACGGGGTGATTGTCGCGATTGAACCGCATAGTGGGCACTTTAAACCGCGTTTGGAGAACCTCTTGGCGCTCTGCTGTGTGCTGGCGAAACACGGCGTCGACATTGAGGACGTTGCGTTTGTCAAGCCCAAGAAGTGGTCCTGTGCCTGGCCGTTTCCAGCGCAGCCAGACGTCGAGCTCAGTGGTATTGCTGGGGCCTCGGACACGGACTACAGCGCGGACAGGTCCGACTCGGACGAGGCGCAGCCACTGCTGCTGCCAGTCGACTAGACCAGCGCGTACCTGTTTGTACCACTAACTTGTCGCGTTTGTATTTATTCCGAGTTGGCGCCGTGGCGGTCTCCGGTACATGGTCTGCAGCTCTGGTAAAGCTGTTATCGTCGCTTGTACTCGCACGCTTTGAACTGTATCGGACCGACGCTCTGCGGGTTGCGCAGTGACTTGACAAAATCAAAGAGCACGAACATCTTATTGCGCTCGTCCTTGTGCTTGCAGTCGAACCCCATTTGACGAAGGGTCTGGACGAATCCAGGAATCCCGCCCAGCGTCTCACTTTCAAAGCGGCTCTTCACTTCGGCAATCTTCAGCACGCCCCCAGGCTTTAGCACGCGGTGTACTTCGCGCACGTACTCGCGGACACTCGTCCCCATGAGCGCTAAGCAATACACGCCAATGTCGATAGAGCTATCGTTCAACGGAACCTGAACACCAGTCAAGTGACAACAACAATAGGAACAACCGACAGCATTTTCATGAGCCACGCACGAATGCCGTCTCAGCGATCTTTCACACGCCTTCAACTTACATGAGCAATATTGCATGCAGTCACGTGCTCTTTGCGAGACACGAGGTCGAACGAGTGCACCTTATTTGGCACGCTCTCGGCCAGCCTGGCATCCCCACAGCCGAAATCCGCCACCACTGCCTCTGGATGGCGTCTGCAGCACGCAAAGGACAGCACAAGTAGTGTCCGTAACGCCATATCACATACAAAACAGATCATTCAGATACACTCAACAAACGACAACGTACTTGACGTAGTCGATAAAAGTGTCGAGAGGGTTCGTCGGCCACTTGTCCGACATCTCTCGAAAGCCCTGGTGGTACACGTCGAAGAGCTCTGGGTCGCTCTGGAACGTCTCGAACGACTCGTCGCCTGTGGTCGTATACAGCTGTTCATTGAGCATGCGGAACTTCCCGCCGTCCAGTTTGCGCCGCATTTCCACGAGGCGCTCGGCCGATGTCACAGCTTTCGGTCTGCTTTTCGAGCGAGTTTGCCCATTGTGCTGCTGCTGCTGCTGTTGCTGCTTGGACTTTGGTTTACCTGCTACTTGCTGCGTCTTGTGCTTTTGTGGGATCTTCTTGTTGCCGCCTGACGAGGCTGCTCTGCCGTTGCCGTCACGTTTGCCAACACCTTTGCGGCCCTTCTTGCCCATTGATTACCGATGCTGAACAGTGTATCGCTCCCAATTGACAGACAGTGTACCTGAGTTATGGCTCCGTGTCCCTAGTTCATGTGTGCACATAATCATTGGGACCTCTCGCGGGTTATAGAGCGGCAAACCCACCTCTCTTTTGCACTATAATTACCGCAGTCGGGGACAGTGTGGCTGACATAAAGACACATCTTAGATCGTTTCTGTGTCGGTGTGTATTTTCTGTGGCGGAACAAGAGCAAAAAATGCAACATGGCTACAAAAAGGTCACACGTCTCGAGACGTTACGGCTGATGAGCGATGCACATTATAGCAATCCATCGATAGACCCCACCACGCAGTCCTCAGTGCATTGATACCGTCTTGTTCATTGCGGGACACACAGATGGCGCCTGTGCGTATAGGCCTCCCATTTCAATGGGAGCCTCAAGCGATGCACGTACTGAAGTTGAGAGTGACTAGCAGCCAAGTGACAACGCCTGATCATGCAGCCCTTGGCACGTGCAAGAGACTTCGTGTGCTGTGGCGGGCGGTGACATGCTGGTACACCTTTCTGTGCTACACGTTTGCTTGCCGTGCTCAGACAGAAGCTTTCGACCCGCCGCTACTGTACGCTTTCGCTTGGCGGCCGTCGATGCTATCGCAAAGCGTACGTCTTCATCATCTCATACATTATCACTACAGCACATGCTTTCGAGAGACACGATGCCTCGACTTGGGTGGAAGTGGTGCTCGAAGCAGTTACACACTCAGTAGACTACAGCAGCGTCTACTTGACGAACATGTCGAGTCGCAAAGCTGCTGAGGTCTGCCTTAGCGGCGTGAAGCTGAGGATGCCGTTGCTCAACGCTTTATGACCAGACTGATGCTTAGAGACGCTGAGGTCAACCAAACCTCATGCTGAGATCGTACGGCGTGGACGCTGCTGCATCCAGCGATGAATGTGACAGACGTGACTGCGATCGATGAACCTGTGACGGCATGTAGAGCGCAGCTTATAGAGACTGTCGCTACGACAAGGAATGCTGGCAAGTCTGACAGGGTTGAACAAAGTGCTCGTCAGGATTGCCAACCCTTCGCCAAGCAAAAACAGTCGACTATTGACAAACGTCCAGCCCGAATGAAGCGTTCCTGAGTGGTAAACGTCGCACCCACCAGGTGCTCAACAAGGCCCGACGGGTCACGCGAAACAAGAGTCAGTAGCGTCTCCAAAGGTCTTGCACTTCGATGAGGGCGAATAGCAAATGCGCAGACACCGCCCGCAGCAGCACACGGATATTGATCATGGCATTGAGAAATGGGACGGACTCGCGCGGATGCAATCAGATCTAATGCTGATCGTCAACATTGAAGCCCCTTAGTGTTTACGGAGCTAAAGCTATATCAAGAAGCTCACAGCACAAAGACCAGGTGCGGTAGGGCGCTGAGTTGAGTTACAAGAGAACTGTCGGATGATGCGGTCACGACTTCGGTTGCAGCAACCGTTCGCTAAAGAGAGATTGTGCAGCACAATGACGACATTTACTATTTACGTTCATGAGAAGCTCAGTTGATGGGTGCAAGTCGAAGAGCTCACAGCGCTAGAAACGCGCTTGCTGACATTCGCGGAAAAAGAGCCAGGAACCACTTCTTTCTCGCCCCAGCGCACCGGTGTGACGTCCCAAATCAACGACGCTGAGGTCAAGTTCTCGGTGCTCTTGCGCCTTGTTCCCACATCGCAAACAAGTCGTATCTTGCATCGGAACGTACGTTGACAACTTGTATGCTTATGCCTCCAGCGATCCATACGTATGTCCTGCCGGATCAATCCGCCGTCGAGTATCTGCGTCGGCCAACGGCTGGTACTCAGTCATGAATTCGCGGCGGACACGATCGCGGTCATTGGCATTGGGTGTCCGACGTGCGATTTCGGCTGCTTTCATGGCGTTGCGCGTGATCAAAGGCGACCGAGAGAACGTGGACGCAGTGAGGGCCTCCGGCGTACGAATTGACGCCAGCGCTGGCTCCAATGGCTCCAAATACACGAAGCCGGGAAGACGCAGTGTGCCATTGTACACTGCCGTGCCTGCCAACAGAGTTATCATGCCAGCAAGCTGCAGCCAGCTCCAGATCGTCCAGCGTTCACCGAATTGGCCCTGCGTGAAGAGGTAAAACAGCATCAAATCTGCTCCCCAGACCGTGATCGGACGGAAGTTGTCGAGAATCGCGTGCCAGATAGAGTTCAGCAGGTAGGTGACCGACACGGCGAAGACGTTGTAGCCCAAAATCACCAGCAAGTAAATGAGGACGATCGCCTGGGCCAGTCCGCTGTTCATCAGCATCTCGCACGCATCGTCAAGTCGTTCATTCGAGCCCAAGTCGTTGCCTGGGACCAAATATGCGATCGGGTAAATGACGAACGTGGTCAGGATCAGGCCCCACACGCCTTCCATGCCCACTACCACCAGAGGAGGTGCACTGTCGCCTTCGTCCATCAGTTTCTCTTCAAAGACGTATTGCACCGACTGAATGGCACAGCTCAGTACCACCATCATCACGCCAAACGCTGGGTGCTGGTCTTCCGCGTTGTTGCCTTGCGCGCCCGAGTCTGCGAGACTTGTGGCGCCCACCATCAGCGCTGCTACCATGTTGAACCCAATGCCGATCCACATGTAACTGCGAAGTCGGTCCTTGAGGACAAACACTTTGAGCAGCGCCACAAACACAATGACAGTGCACTTCATCAGCTGGAACACACTGACAGTGACGTAGAGAAGGCCAAGATTGGCCACAAACGTTGCCAGCAGGTCAAACGCTGCAGGAAGAGCGAGCAAGAAGTACGTTTTGCGTGGAATGTGGTAGCGGTACTTGACTAACAAACAGCGCAGCAGAAGAAGCACAGAGCGTTAGGTGGAGCCCATGAGCCTGCAGTAGCAGCATCAAAGTGAGCAGCGACATCAATCGTACTGTTGCGCTTATTGCGACGCCATTTCCGCTCGACATGATAGCGGTACGCCCAGTGAATGGGTAAGGCAAAGATCATGGCGAGGAACATGAGCCATGTCTGGAAAATGGGCTTCTCGAACTTCTTGACTTCGCCGTCCAGACCGATCGAGTCCACGCCGTACAAGATCTGTCATTCAAGTCAGCACAAGAGGTCAGAAAAGGTTACTTGTGTGTGTGTAGAACCAACGAGTTACAGTATGCAGTTCGACAGAAGGAGACACACCTTGCCAGTTCTAGAATACAACACAGTTGTTCACAGTGTCACAAAAGGCAGAAAAGAGTGTCTGGTAAGCGGAAGGCGATGGAATAACTGGCACGACGTGACGAGAGGGCAGCACACACACACACACACACACTTACAAAGTCGTGCCTGTGCCGGTGATGAGCCCCAAGCTAAAGACCAGCGCCTCTTTCGTGCCGCACGACATGAGTGGCTGAGGAAGACGCAGTCGTTGGGGTGTGTGCGAGTGCCTTATGGACCGAATTGAACAATGGGAAAAGATGCCGCAGAGGAGACGTGTGGCTGGATGGGGCTTAGAAGATACGCTCGAGAAGATCCACGACCGGTCGGTCGGTCGGTCGGTCGGTCGGTCGATCGATCGGCGGTGTGGATTGGCCAAAACGGCCGAGAGGCAACAGCGGCTATGGTTCGTGTAAATTACCAAAGTCTATGCGGGAAGCTAAAATCTTTTGGTTCTTTTTTACAGCCGACAACCACACCAATCGCTACTGCAAGAAAGGCACAGCCCAAGTTGCAGGAGACGAGGAACCGATGGGCAGACCTGAGATCAAAGGTGGCCACTGCACGAGTGCACGATCTTCTGTCTGTTTTGAGCACCGAGTTCCTCAAAGTCGTGCGTATCGTACAGCACTATCTCAGCAATGACTTTAGCAAAGTGCTGTCGATGTTGCTGTCCACTCGTTCGATAGTCTGCAGGGATTCACATCATCGTTAGTCAACGTCACAAGTGAAAACGATACCTGATAGGGATAATCAATAAGGATCAGCGTGTCGTTCGTTTACGAACAAGAAGCAAGAGATGTTGCGAGCACTGTAATTTTAAACGATAAGCAGAGCTCTTTGGACAATCGGAGTGAGAGCCTCCTTGCTGGCGTTGACTGTGATCGTTTCTTCGAATGACAGTGGTCATGAAAAAGAACGTGCCACGTAGCGAGATATGACGAAGCTGTGGAGAAGAATCTCCCTGTGGCGCAGTAAGGTTCACATATTCGATATGGTGTTCGGAACCTTCTGACAATCCTTCCGCCTAAACGGATGCTGCTCTTGCAAGTGGTGCCGGAAGCTATCAGTGTGATAATTTGGCCTCGTGGATTCCTTTACGATGAGTGGCACGCTTTTACCGCTGCTTCTTTCTCCCATCCTTCTCTATTGACATCATCAGTGGACACCATATTCGTTTTTTTGATGCAATAACGAGACATCTGTGGCTCTACTTCCCTCCTCCTTGTAGTTATGGCAAGCAGGATCACTTCGTCGTCAGCTCCTCACGCCCGGACTCAACGCAAAGCGACAATCGGCACTTTGACCCTAACATTTTCTATAATCTTTGCAGTAGCTCTCAATGTCATCGCGGCCATGAGAGTCCCTTACTTAGTAAACTACTTGTGAGGGGCGACGAGTGGTGAGCGGCGAACGGTGAAATCGATGTGCATGTTGCAGCGTTGACCCCAGGCTCCACAGCCTACGGAATATCGAATATAAGGGGAACGATGCATACGGGAACAAGTGATATTTGCAAAGTCTTCTGGAGTCGTGCAAAGCACTTTTCGGTGAGGTTTCGCACGACCTTAGTCAGGCATGTCGAAATAGCAGGAAAATAGCTGATCGAAAGCACATAAAGCCGCACCACGTATGAGACTTTGAAATAGTCGAGTTTACGCTAACTACAGCTACAATCTGCAGCGGTTTATTCTAGACCATTTTAGCGTTTGTTGACGCTTCTTTCGTTCAGCTTACGGTATTGCATTTTGCTTGATTCCGTGAACGTATAAGTGCTCGATGAAGGTAACACACATTACGCCAAGGTCGATCGGGAGCAACTACCGACGCAGCCATGACCACAATTTCTGCTTATTTTCTCCCTCTATAATAATTATTTTTGATATACCTATATGTATATTAACAATGCTAATATTATTTATATTACTAATTTACTATAATTTGTTATTATTTAATTTTTGATCTTAGTCTGACACAACATATGAATTGGAATCGGTATGCAATCAAGGATACTTGAGAGGCGCCATTACCGCGATCATTGGAAACAATTTTATCACTTACATTGACAGTAATCGCTGTTTCTAGTGGTATTAATAACTTGCTACATTCTCACTACTCACTGTAGTCGCATGGGTAAAAATATGAGTCGAGTGTCGAGCTGCTATAATAAAGAACGGCGACGCGGTCGTTCAAAAGTATTCACAAGATGGGTACTTTGGATTTATTGGGAGTGCAGCGATACGGTAGCAGAAAAAATTCGGTACTTTATTGTCGAACAGACACTAACGTTTTGTCCTGCATATAAGACATATCGGCCACCACGCTCGATTTTAATGCAAAATTATGAAACAAATGCGAAAATGTACATACTCTAAGTACCAATATAACACATGTTTATGCTCAAGCGTTCATTTGAAATGACGGTGTACTCTTGGGTGACTGATAGAAGAATGTCTAGGTGCTTGCGCAAAAATTACTGTCAGGCTGGCATGGGAGGTCTTGGGTCTACGTGATTGCACATATTACCTGTAGTCACTGTTTGAATATACATTAGTTCCAATAACCTTTGTTCTTGAAAGTTCACCGAAGACCCCATAAACTTAAGCACGATGATGCTGTTTATAAAGTTCCTTCTGTGCATATGGATACCACTTCGTTACGAGTTTAACTCGAGACTCTTCACACACAGCAACTTGGTAGCAAACACTGTCAACTCGCATCACGGTGGCTGTGCATCTGGCCACACGCCTATATATTCTACGCCTCCCTTAAAGATCTCTCATCGACTAATATATTGACTCCGAAGAAGTGAAACAGAGGCAAAGAAGCTATTTGTTGAATGCTTTATAATAATTTATGGCAGGGAGGTAAGTTTTTTTGAGAAAATAAAAAATGCCCCATTTAGTCACGTAAAAAAGCCCCACATACTTGGAAAACAAAAAATGTCTTAAATATATGTAAAATTAAAAAATGACCTACGTCCTAGTATAAAAAAGTTTATGTGACATGTATAAGATTACACGTCCTTTATCATTTTTCGTTTTTCCATTTTACGGCCGCGACCAATACCCGACCTGTTTGGGAAGTCGCGAAGAGAGTTCTGCCCCGGGCGTGCTGCGCTTGCAGCCACCAGTTGCAGATGCAGACGCGAGATATGAGTACATGAGCGCGTCTTTATATCACCGGCCGCGGCCGTAAACACAGTCGATCGGTGCTAATGTTCGTGATATATATGCTATTGCTTTTAGGTATGTTGTTTAAATTGATATTGTTGATGGTGCTACTGCTGTTTCTTCTGCTGCTGATGTTGTTATAGGTGCCGTGGTTGCTGACGTTGCTCTATTGATGCTGCAACTGCTGCTTTTTGCTGCGAGGTGCAGTCGTTGCAGTGAATGTGTGGTGAAGTCGATCTCACAAAATCGCTTGTGTGAGGGTCGATATTTCACTTTCCCAGACTTGTCGACTTACGGAGGGGGTACTACGATTCGTGCCTTGTTGTATAGCCTTGTGATCACCTTGTGTACCCGTCGGTTGGGCTGACTTGAGCTCTTCGTAACGGCCTTGGGAGATGTCAATCTTGCTGATAGGTTGAGTTGAGAGTTCGCTTTCGGTGCGAAAATCTTCACACCACAAACAGAAATTCTGCGATCTTGATCTTGAGTCGCGGCGATCTCTAGTTGAAAATGTCGCGATCTCGATCTTGAATTTCACCGATCTCGATCTGTCTTTGGGATCAAGGTCTTTGCTGCACGGCAATCCTCACTCAGCAAATAGTACTCTTGCGTCTATATTGTCTTGGGATCGGTCCGATCTGGTCTGGGGATCGGCCGATCTTGCAGGAAGTGCGCAATGTGGGCAGATAGGTGTCCTGTTTCGCCAAAATGAAACGGGCCGATCTGCCTTGTGTATCGTTTCGATCTCGCTCGGTCTTTTCTTGAACTCCTTGTCCAGATTTTCTGACCACTTAATCCGTCTCGCGATCTTGTAACCAGAATCATCTTCCTTGTCGCTGCTACCCTAGAAGTTGAGATGAGTTTGAGTACTTGATCGATCCTGGCCAAACTTCCCAAGGTCGCTCTTCTCGATCTTGGCCAAAAATCCAAGATCGGTCTTCAATGTCCTTGTAGCACGCGTGTCTCAAACCGTCGGGAATGCCAAAGAAATCTTGCCCAGAAGAGAGGGAGGGAGCGCGCGTCGTGAGCAGAAGAAGTAGAGTTCAAGTCTGTTTTATTAACCAACCAATTACTAGCCAACCTATTTTTAAGCCTATTCCAAAATATAGGTCACTCTCCAAACCGATATTGCCTTTAAGCTTGATCCCCCCCTCAAACACGAGTTAAAATTTCATGACCTTCACTCCAAAGATAGCGCCAATGTCCTCGATATCGCACATAAACACCAAATGAGAACAAAATTCCAAATACGATACCAAATTCTCAATTTTGGTACCAAAAGGTCCGAAATAGTACTTAAGTGCCAAATGTGCCTAAATCCATTTGCGACGTCAATTCAACCGGCTTTCACTGGATCTTTCGGTCCGAACTTAGCGACATCACTCATGGACCTTCAAAAAACATATTCATTATGATCCCAAAGTCTCATCAGCGATATATCCATAATCAACAGGGAGCATGACCGATCTGGTGCCCAAATTCGAGATCGTTGAGATCGACACGGTACAATTCAGCAGTAGGTGTTCTTTTCTGTTCATTTTACATGCTCCAATATCACCCTTCAGGGCTTATCTGGTCCACGAGACTCTCCACATAGCTCCCTGGACGCCCACGAGTATACACTTTTCCAGATCGGGCTATAATTAACCTAAAATCAGTACTTTTATTGTGAGATCGGTAAAGAGTATTACCGATCTACAGGATGTTACACGTTCGTCCCAAATTCATATCGCATCGCATCACCTGGTTTCAGATGCATATTTCCAGAATGACTTGGCCACAATATCCACGACCGTTGCTATACGTATACTTCTCCTTTACTAACATTCAGGTAAATTGTATGACTTCGTCCCACTTCCTCGTCCCAGATCGCTCCATGGAAATCGCTCTATTTGTCGTCTTGTCCCAGATCACTCTGTCCCCGGTCGTTCCATATACATCAGTTTGGCGACATTTATATCGGATCGCCGATCCCCGTTGAGATCGCTTTCCATCTCCATATTGGATCGCTGGG